TTGGTGTTTAGTAGTAGGTGCCCTATACAACAAGTATGGAATGGAGAACAGACAACCAAAACAAAAAGATACAAAAACAAATCTAACAAGAAAAAGTCACTACTCGCCTCCTCCCCCATCAACAATTTAGCTTGTTTTATCATGTCTTCTTTGCTGGTATTTCTTGTGGCTCTCTGTTTGTATTTTTTAGTTATTTTCTCAGAGGCTCCAAATTCATTGAGACAGAGTGAGAGAGAGAGAGTGATTTGTTTTTGTTTTCCATTGGCTCCCCAATTGTTGCAAGACAGATAGGGCATATTTCTTAGAATTAAATTCTTCTTTCTCTGCACTTCTTTGTAAACATATATTTCTTTTATTTGTTATTAATTTTAAAACAATAAAAACAACAATTTAATAACAATTTCTTTGATTGTTATTCTTTCCACTTCTCCCCCCACATACATAAGTGCCATAAAACCGTTATTTGTCACATATAAACAACTTACTTGTTTCTCTGAACACTTCCCAAACATATAACAGAAAAAAGTGTTGGTAAGCGTTAAATATGTTTACTGGTATTTATTTAGTGTTGACATCAAAACAAATGCAAATATTGAAGTAAATAGAACTTATCTGCGGGAAAAATGACCATATATTATAATAGATAATCTCTTGAGTATAGATTATACGGTAATTGGTGTGATAAGGGTTTGTTGACCTAACATTTTAATTACAACAAATAAAATGGGAATTATTTGCATAGTGAGTTCAGTGACATACACCATGACTAAATAGGTCTTCATAATGTACTATAATCATTTAATGTACTAATAGACATCCCGATTTAATTTCTGTATATGACAGAGGATTTACGATATCGGTGTTAGATATTAAAATCATCACCTTTCATTCGAAGTGGATAGAATTATTTTAAACATATCACAATTTTTGTATGCATCTCCTGTGTAAAGGTCGCGAACCATTTACGTTATCTTAAAGATTCGAATTTTGTTACTTGCAGAAAAGGGTCGCAGTCAGGATCTTTATATATGTTTCCTCAAAAATCGTATTTTTTAAATATTTTTCGTAGATATTTTTAGGAGGCTGCAAGTGTGGATTGTTCCCCAATTTTTATCTTAAAAAAATCTCCATTTTTTTAAATTAGTATATATTTTTTTAAATATCCACGATTATAAAATCAAAATTGTGACGAAAGCACTCCTTGTCTCGATAACAATATAGAAGCACAATGGCAAAGAATTGTCCACTCCCTACAAACTGCAGCAAAAGCAACACTTTGGTACAAAAAACCATCATAATACTACTGAGGTGAAGAAAACAACGTATAGGGCAACACTGGAGACAGTAGCGACACGTAATGCGATGGAAAATTATCGGGAGAAAAGGAAAGAGGAGAATCGTATTTAAAAAAAAGGAAAAAGAACAAGAAAAACGTGAGCGTGAGCAAATCGAGATGTACAGGAGTCAGAATGATGTCCGGAAATTTTACCAACGAGTAAAACACCAAACCGAAGGCTTTGGCGCAGGCACATCCTCCTGTAGAGATGAAGATGGAAACCTGGTGACAAATACAGATAGCGTGTTGAGGATCCGGAAGGAGCATTTTGTAAAGCTTCTGGTATCAAATAGTGGCGGTGAAGAAGATGCCCAGGAACTAATAAGAGATGACGGTATAGAGTGTATACCACCTAGCAAAGATGAGGTCAGAGTAACAGTTAATCGGCTGAAGAATAATAACGCAGCAGGTGCCGATGCTGGTCAGGAGCGTGCACCAGCACATTTGTACAATGTGGGTAGAGGAATGAATGCCCAATGATTGGAACCTCAGCATCCAACGATATGTGGAATAAGTCTCCTTCCCATCGCATAAAAAGTGCTATACAGCGTGCAGTGTGAATGACTGAAGCCAATGGTCAATGACATTATTGGACCATACCTATGTGGCTTAAGGCCTGGCAAATTCACCATTTACCAGATTTTCACTCTGCGCCAGATCTTGGAAAACCCCACGAAAAACACATCGACACATTCCACCTATTCGTCCACTATAAAGCAGCATTCGACAGCGATGGAAATATCAAGTAGAAGATAACGCGCCTGAAAATCTTTTTTAAGTTCGACTTATGGAACAATCGTTCTGTCATGAGCCAGCTAAGAAAGTAAGTAAGCGTGGATATTTTTAAAATATATATTTTAATTGATTTTTTTTAATTTGTATTTTTAAATATTTTCTTTTTTTAATTACGTTTAGTATAAATCGCCCTTAAAGCCAAGATTTTCTAAAGAATATTTCATGGTACAATTATAAAAGGTAACAGCAAGTCCCAGCTGATTTGATTCCAACGTAATACTAGTGTCAATATGAATTTGACAAATTATGTTTTTAAAAATCACCCAACAGGAAAATTGGGAACGCATACAATTTGTAATTGTTCTTTATTAAATGTGCTCCCGTATTCAACTTACTCAATCTGCCTGCTGGGAAAGTTTGAGGAAGCAAATCTTTCTTCAAGGAACAACTCGCTATTCCCTGGATTTTCATATGTGTTACATATATATATGGCAATGGCTCAATTATAGGAAAGATGTGGAAACGATAGAAATATAAATTTGATAGATTTTCATTCATGTTTTTCAATTTTTATTTTGAGGATTCGAAAATAATTCATTTTCAAAATAAAAATAATTTGATGATAATTTGTTTGTTTGTTTACATTTTTCTGTCAAATGAGTTGACACTACACTGCGTATCATAACTATAGACGCACCTTTAATTCAATAGGTATGTTAGTTGACAAATCAAATGACAAATCTTTATGGTTTCGCCGAATTCTGCACTTTCAAAATTGCTGGAGTTGCATAACTATAGACGCACTTTTACAAAATTAGAAAAATTTATTTTTTAAAACTTAAATAAAATAAAATAACTTTTATAAATAATGGGTAGAGCCTCCCTTATTTTGAATAAGTTCAAAAATTTTATCCATCACACTGTTGATCAAAATTATTCGCAAGTCTTCATCGATTGACCGCCATTCATCGATAATCACTTCTTGGAAATAAAATAATGTTTGGTATTGGCGGTTTTCTGCATAGACACGATGAGTCAAGATTCCACACTTGTTCTCGATCGGATTCTGGTCTGAAATTTTAATATTTTTTAATTTTAACCATACTTGAGTACGGCGACTTTTATGAACTGGCGCGTTGTCCTGCTGAAAAACAAGTCCTTGATTGGTGCTGCTTTCCCAAAATTGCAATAATTTGTCTTCCAAGACTTGAACGTACTCCATGAATTCATCCGACAACATGGAAATGTGAAATAAAGCATTCCGTAGCTATAAAATGCTCCCAAGGCCATTAAGGAACCGCCACCGAAATATCGTATTAAAAAATAACGATATTTCGGTAACCGCCACCTTGGGAGCATTTTATAGCCACGGAATGCTTTATTTGACATTTCCATGTTGTCGGATGAATTCAATGGAGTACGTTCAAGTCTTAGAAGACAAATTATTGCAATTTTGGGAAAGCAGCACCAATCAAGGACTCGTTTTTCAGCAGGATAACGCGCCAGTTCATAAAAGTCACCGTACTCAAGTATGGTTAAAATTAAAAAATATTAAAATTTCAGACCAGAATCCGATCGAGAACATGTGTGGAATCTTGACTCGTCGTGTCTATGCAGAAAACCGCCAATACCAAACATTATTTTATTTCCAAGAAGTGATTATCGATGAATGGCGGTCAATCGATGAAGACTTGCGAATAATTTTGATCAACAGTGTGATGGATAAAATTTTTGAACTTATTCAAAATAAGGGAGGCCCTACCCATTATTTATAAAAGTTATTTTATTTTATTTAGGTTTTAAAAAATAATTTTTTCTACTTTTGTAAAAGTGCGTCTATAGTTATGCAACTCCAGCAATTTTGAAAGTGCAGAATTCGGCGAAACCATAAAGAATAAATTAATTATTTTTGTTGAATAATATATGTTTTTGATCGTTTTATTGTGAACAATAACTTAATGGGTCCATTTGATTTGTCAACTAACATACCAATTGAATTAAGTGTGCGTCTATAGTTATGATACGCAGTGTAGTAGAACTTACAAAAACAAATTTCCATGTGCTTGTTGTATCGTTTTTTGTACAACAACACTTGCTGTTACCTTCTATTATTATACCATGAGAATATTTTTAAAAGGTCTGTACTTAGGATTTTTATATATTTCGCTTTCTATTCCTTCATTATATATTAAATCAATATTTTATTTAACTATTTCAAATGTTTACCTGAATGGTTTAGTATAAATCACCCTTAATTTAGGTATTTTACAACACTAAATATCCGTTTCCCTTTTAATGTTGTTAAATGCAACAAAACATCAAAATTCAAACGTTTACCAACACTTGACACCCCCAGCGCCTATAAATAGGCAACATAAAACAACAACAGACGGCACACAACACCTGAGGTTGATGGTATGAACAAAATTTCTCGTCGGCATCCAACAGAGTAAATTGAGAGACGACGATACAGAAACACTTCGACAAGGCAGCGGCGGAACTCAATAAAATCGGACGAAAGAATAACATTCCAGTAAACAAAAAGTTTTGCAAAAAATATTTATTAAGCGGTTGTGATTGAATGTGAGCAAAAAATACAGCAACAATAAGAAACATTAAAGAATACAGACAGGCAGACAATTAAATTTGTGTGCAAAATAAAATTTCCATTGAGTAAATAATCTACTCTGCAGCAGGAAGGTAAGAAGGTTTGTTGTTAACGGCTGACCTGTCAGATAGTAACCATAACTATTTTTTTTTACTACATAATTTAATTAATGACGATGACAACAACGACTATGTGTAGAACATTGCTTGGCATCCATCTCCCCTCGGGTGCAGGAACAAACATTCTCAGCAACAAGGTCACGCACCCATCTTCTTCCATAGCCCACTGAGAAAACGAGCGGAGGAATATCGCCGTCTAACCGCAAAAGCGATGACTACCACAGACAATCATAATTTATTACGAAGCCTCATCAACGCCGCCGAGAAAGCAGCCAACATAGCCCGCATTTGCCGTTCGAATCAACAATTGTTGTCGCTCTTGGTACGGGAGAAAACGGGCGATGAAGCCAATGCCAGATTTGAACATGATTTTAAGACATTGGCTGATGTGCTCATACAGGAGGCCATCAAATACGATGTTGGCAATGAGGTATGTATTTCAATGTTGTTGTTGCTTTTTGCCTTTTGTATGCGTTCGGATATAAATAAACTTAGCTATAGATAGGCATAATGTTTCCCCCTTTGTTGATTTTTTACAGTTTCCAGAAATGAAGGATAACATACGGGGTGAGGAGTCCCCCAATTTTACCAATGCCAATGGAGAAAATATTGCAATTGTTGTGGGCCCTACTGCCACAGAGACCGAGGCATGTCTGCTTGCCATACTACAAGAGGAACACCAAGAAGCGGCAAAAATATTAGCCGAAGAAGTTCATCGTCAGGTGACATTTGATAAGGAACTGAATGAAGAAATTCCCGAGCTACCAAATGATGTGGACTATTCACAGCTCGGAGTGTGGATAGATCCAATAGGTGGGTGTTTTGTGATTTCACAGAGATTTTAAAAAGTGACCTCGGATGCCCAGTCTATATGTATCTTCTTGTTTTCTCCTTGAAAATATATTTTTTAAAGACAAACCCTGAATTTTTTTTTAAAAAAATAGACACTTTGAAAAATATTTTTTGAACACATATTTTTTTGACAAATATTTTTTAAATATTTAAACATATGTATATTTTTAAAATATTCACGATTTGAAAAATATTTTTTTATACTTTTTAAAATTTTGAAAAACACTTTTAAAAAAATACAAAATTTAAAAAAAATGTTTATGCATTTTAAAATTTTGAAAAATATTAAAAAAAAACATGAATTGAAAAAAGTATAATTTTTAAAATTTTGAAAAAAAAATTAAATCCTCGCTTTGATTTTTTTTAAATATTTTTTTAAATATTGAAATTTTTTTAAAAAAACCTTTGCATTGAAAATAAATGGGTTTAAAAAATATTTAAAAAAATCTACGCCTATAAATAGGCACGTTTAATCCTCACCTATAAATGAAAATAAAATAATTTTTAACAATTTAATTTATTTAATTCACTAATCTAACTTTTTTCTTTCCAAAACAGATGCTACGGCAGAATATATATCCGGCGACACCATGTTTACAAATTTCCCTGGCATAACCTCAACGGGACTGGATTGTGTTACTGTACTAATTGGGGTGTATGACACCACCACAGGAGTTCCCGTTATTGGTGTAATCTGTCAACCTTTCCGCAACAAACTGCAAGAAAATGTCTACACCTCGGCAATGTTTTGGGGTATAGCTCTACCAAATTTGCAGGTCCATTGCAATGCATTAACAAATTCCTCTTCCGATCGAGGACGCCTTTTGGGTATATTTTCCAGTTCGGAACGTGCTGAACTTCTTCAACAAATGTTAGAATTAGGTTATGAATTTGCCTTCTCAGCGGGAGCTGGCCATAAGGCCCTTAAAGTTATTACCAATGAAGTGGATGCGTATGTTTTGAGTAAGGGGTCGACCTTTAAATGGGACACCTGTGCACCTCAGGCTATTTTACGTTCTCTCAACGGTGATATTATTGAATTTCAAACTAGCATTCGAGAGGGTAAACCAATACCATTGAAATATATCCCGAATGAAAAGGAGTCAGAGAATGCCGAAGAGGAGACCACGGTCGATTGGAAGTGTAATCGCCATGGTTTAATTGCGGTACGCGATATTAAATTATTCGATGATCTATTGCAGAAGTTGGCGAATAGTTAAATATTTTAAAAATCATTAGAGTATAGGATAATTTATTGTTGACATGGTCCAGAGTTTCCTAAAGAGAAAATATTTTTGATGATTGTGTAAAAGAAAATAACAATAAAAAATAAAATATATGTATTATTTATATAAATGTAGTTATTTATAACTAAATAAAAAAAACAACAAATAAATGTCTATATACATATAAAACAATTATGGGTTATGTATTTTTAAAAATCTAACCTTGGAAGGCCACGAATCAGATGGAAAGACCATGTAGAAAACAACATCTTTGAAGGTGGTCTTTCAAATTGGCGGAGTTGCGCACAAGACCGACGCGCTTGAAAATCCCTTTTAAGCTCGTCTTATGGAACAACCGTTCTTTAACAAGCCAGCTAAGAAGAAGAAACTTGGAGTCTCTGGAAAAACTATTTTTTAAAAAATCCACGCTTAGAAGCCTTCAAGTCTCTGGAAAAACTATTTTTTAAAAAATCCACGCTTAGAAGCCTTCAAGTCTCTGGAAAAACTATTTTTTAAAAAATCCACGCTTAGAAGCCTTCAAGTCTCTGGAAAAACTATTTTTTAAAAAATCCACGCTTAGAAGCCTTAAAGTCTCTGGAAAAACTATTTTTTAAAAAATCCACGCTTAGAAGCCTTCAAGTCTCTGGAAAAACTATTTTTTAAAAAATCCACGGTTAGAAGCCTTCAAGTCTCAGGAAAAATATTCTTAAAAAAAATCCACGCTTAGAAGCCTTCAAGTCTCAGGAAAAATATTCTTTAAAAAATCCACGCTTAGAAGCCTTCAAGTCTCTGGAGAAATATTCTTTAAAAAAATCCACGCTTAGAAGTCTTAAAGTCTCTGGAAAAATATTCTTTATAAAAATCCACGCTTAGAAGCCTTCAAGTCTCTGGAAAAATATTCCTTAAAAAAATCCACGTTTAGAGGTCTTGTAGTCTCTGGAAAAATATTCTTTAAAAATCCACGCTTAAAAGGCTTCAAGTCTCTGGAAAAATATTCTTTAAAAAATCCACGCTTGGAGGCCTTTAAGTCTCTGGAAAAATGTTATTTAAAAAATCCACGCTTAGAGGTCTTGTAGTCTTTGGAAAAATATTCTTTAAAAAATCCACGCTTAGAGGTCTTGTAGTCTTTGGAAAAATATTCTTTAAAAAATCCACGCTTAGAGGTCTTGTAGTCTTTGGAAAAATATTCTTGTAGTCTTTGGAAAAATATTCTATAAAAAATCCACGATAGAGGTCTTGTAGTATGTGGAATATTCTTTAAAAAATCCACGCTTAGAGGTCTTCTAGTCTCTGGAAAAATA